GCGGCTGATAACTCTCCCCCAACAAAGACGTCGCGAATAAACCCCGTCGATGAGAGTGTGGAGGCACAGCCGAATGGTGACGCAACACCGATGCCCTGCGTCGGACAGGAGCCATTTAACGAGGCTACCACGCCTGAGAATCCGCTCCTTCGCAACTTTGCGGAGGTCGAACTCAGCGTCTCTGAAACAGCGAATTCTGATTTGGATCATCCACATGAGTCTCATCACGAAACGCCGGAGCAGTGGGAGGTGCGTGCGCCGGATACGGACGATGGGGCGAAGAGTGAAGACGGCGCGCAGTGTCCAGGTTCGAGGGGCGAACCATTTGGTGATTATGCAGAAAAAGACAACTTGAACCACCCGAAGGCCGATCAGGTCGATGCCGGCTCCACGGCTCCCGACGGCTGCGGAGTGGATCAAGGTTTAAAAGAAGACCCGTCGCTTGTACAGACAAAAGACCATTCTCTGGACGCCGTAGAGGCGCGGCTGCATCGCGAATCTTCATGCAGTCTGGATCGTTCGGTGGGGCCGCTCAATGATACAGTTGCGGCTTTGGCTTCGTACCAAGTGAACGCAAAGGGCCATTCCGGCAGCGGGGCTGAGGATGCTGTTCTGCAGCATTCAGGCGTATGACGAATGTATTTGCTTACGGGGTGGGAGATAGAGGTCCTGTATAACTGACAGGCATTGCATAAGAGTATGCGCCTGCCCGAGGGAGGTAAATGAGGAATGCATTAAAGTGCCACGTTGGGTGTGCAACAAAACATGTATTTGGAAACTTACGTACCTAATTTTGTTTTTGTTCGTTGCACTGGGGAACTCCAAACACATTTTACAAAACCACGCAGTATTTAAAGACATGCATTTCTTAACATGAATGAGCAAACAACTACCCGGTTGAGGAGCGGCGTGGGTGGTGGGGCCAGCCACCTTGTCTTGGGTGGTGTGTTTTAATATATTTTTTTCGTTGCTGTTTTCGCGGCCGTCGCACATTTGACTGCTGCTTTGTGTTTGTTTTCCCCTGGGGGCTATTCTCCCTGAGCCGCAGCTCTCCTCAACCGCCTCCGGCGCTGCTGCTGCTGCTGCTTTTCTCTGCTGCTCCTTCTCCCGCTGTGCTGGGGGCGTCCCTCACACAATCTCCCCTCCACTCTGCGCTGCCTGCGAGCCAAGGACACGAAAAGAAAGAGACATACCCAACGCTGATACCGCCACCAAGCAGAATAACAACAACAACAGTAATAACAACAACAACAACGTCAACATTTAGAAAAAAAAAGAGTCACTCCATCAGCTGCACAACGCAATGACGAAGTCGGACGCAAACAGTGAGGGCGCTGAGCTTGATCAATTCCTCCAAAATGCAATGTCAATCAAGAAGAAGCTGAACGCGCTTGACACTGCCTTGCAGCAGATGATCATGGCGTCAATGAGTGTGGCCGCTGCCTTTGAGAGTATTGGCCACTGCTATGTCGACGTTACAGGAGCAGCAACCGTACAACGTGCTGATGGCGCATACAGTGCTGTCAGCCGTGAACCTGTGGATGCTGCAGGTGCCTTGCACAACTCTGCAAAGTTGTTTGCGCTGCAGATGCGCGAGTTGAAGGATGGTGATTCACTGTCCGAATACAGGATCTCGATTCACCGACAGATTCTTGAGCGGTTGCAGCCACTCCGTGAGGTGACGAAGAAGACCGTTGATGCGGGTAAGGCAGCACAGTCGTTCTTGAAAGAGTACCAGAAAAAGGCAAAGATTGTGGAAAAGAAGATTCAGAAGTATGCGAAGGCCAACAAACCACTCACTGAGAGCAAACTCTACAGCAAACAGGTGGCGGAGCGGGATAGCGCCCATGCAAGGTCGCAGGCGAAGACCACGTATTTTGCAAATCTGTACGATGACCTCCTGAAGCAAATGGAGCAGACGACAGGGGAGACACTGGACAATTTCCTGGACATAAACTGCTCCATGCTGCAGCGCACACTCGATGTCGTACGCGAAGTTGCGCCACGTGCCACTCAGCGCTACCCGTCGATATCTAAGGTACTCGTAAAGTCTGCTCGACACAGTGTGACAATGCGGGCGGCTGATAACTCTCCCCCAACAAAGACGTCGCGAATAAACCCCGTCGATGAGAGTGTGGAGGCACAGCCGAATGGTGACGCAACACCGATGCCCTGCGTCGGACAGGAGCCATTTAACGAGGCTACCGCGCCTGCGAACCCGTACCTTCTCCCGAGTACAGTTGATACCCACTCTGCTATTGACATTAGTGGTTCGGTTCAGCCGCATGGGTCTCATCACGAAACGCCGGAGCAGTGGGAGGTGCGTGTTCCCGATATATATGAGCCTTGACAAAATAAACTGTATGACAGGACATCTTTTACGAGGAAGTAGGAGGTTGCCTCGAAATGTTTTTTGCTTTGTTTTGTTTTTTTTCATGTGTGAGGATTCCTATTGTTTTATATTTTGTATGTCTGGGGAAGTATGTGTGTTTCAATACTACCCTGCTTGCTAATCCATGGGCGGAGTCGTGTTGTGTCTGCGTGATGGTGCGTGCAGCTGTGTGGTGGGGCAGCTGAATGCTGAAGCGAAGGAGGTGGTGCACATACAACAACCAAGGAATATCTACGCGAGTATGACTGCATGTTATATGATCAGGAAAGGGCCAAAAGGATCCAGGTGAATTGCTCGAGGTGCATGGGGTGCGCTGCGGCCGACAAGAAGTGAGGCATGCGTGGGCCCACACTGTTGCTGCAGACAGGCCGCCACGTCTTCACTCATCATGGCACACCCATGCCACACCGGCAACATAAGAGTTGGAGCACGCGCCCATATGCCTGTTGACCTTGCATGACTTCGATGTTTATTTGGTCTGTACGGACTTCTGAATCCGGTGAGTTCTTTTTATGGTGTTTTCATTTTATCAGAATCTGGGATTCCTGGTGGGTGATCTCGAAGTTTTGATTTATTTTGATTTATTAGCACGAGGCGATTGTACAAAAGAAAAACAGAGTGTCTTATTGCACGCTAGCTGTATTGTTTATTCACTCGGGCCACCCTCTCCTCCTGCAAGGGGTGCGTGAGAGGTGCCGCTGAGCCTGCGTTGTCGTTACGTGTGGCGTTTTCGCAGACGTATTCGTTTGTGACGGTAGGTGGAGCGGTGATCGGCATGCGTTTTCTTTTCTCCCGCTTCTCTCCGCTCGTTTTATGTTACCTTGCTGTTACCTCCTGCTCAACACTTAAGCTATGTTCTTGTATTCCCGAGTTTATTGTGGGGGGCGTTTTGTTAGTGCTGAATTTCTTTTTTTTTGTCTCCATTGAAGTGCGTTGTGGCGCATTGGGCTCCATGCGCTTTCTAATCGGACATACAGATGTCCGCTTTGTTTGATGCCCACTCACTCTGCCGAGTCGGCGCCGCCTTCTGCTGCGTTACCCATTTTCTCTCTCACACATGCACACTCATATACTCCGTCTTTCTGTCCACTGTTTCGGCTATCGGGGTGGGGCGAAGAAAGGCAAAGGGAAGGGCAACGGAAGAGGTGCAGTGGGACTGAGCGCTCCAGCATCCAGCGGCGCGGGAGTGTGATTTGGTTGACGGGCTTTGAGGCCTCTTTCCGCCTGTGACATGCTTCACGTGACCAGGAGGGTATGGAGCTGCTACGTGCCGGTTGTTGGCGGTGCGTTCCTGTTGGACACGCTGTATGGCTCTAAATACAGTCCACATATTGGCGTGTGCAACCTGCCGTATGTGTATGTGAAGACGGTGCTTTTTTGCACCTCTCAGAGTGGGTCGCAGGAGAGGGAGCGCAACTACGTCCTTGGGCTCATCGATCACCTAATTCCTTTTACTGCGTTGCGTGACGAGCAAACAAAGCTAGAGTTGGTGCAGTTTGTAGACGCGATGACGTCCCGGCCAAATCCCGGTTCTACCTCAGCTAATATGATGGTAACGTCTGGGGCTGAGAGGCAGCGGCGGAATGAGCCGGCTACAGTTGGAGAGTTGACATCTCAGGTGCATTCCACAACGCGAGGGTCCAACAGCAGCAGCCCTCCGCAGGTGTCAGAAAATGTGGCTTCCTTTCTCTCAGGTGCGCTTCTCCCAACAGCTCTGGCGCGCGTTCTGTTGTACGATGCGATGTGCGTCTGTGTGGCGGATGGCGAGTACGACGACGCGGAGCGGGATCGGGTGTCACATGTGGCAGCGAAGCTCGGCATCCCGCATCATGTACGGGAGGCCATTGAGAAGGTGGTTGTGCAGGAGCACCAGCTGGCTGTGCGCAAGCGGCAGTTTCTTCTGCTGAGCGATGTTCCGCCTCCACGCTGATATGTAAGGGGTGATGCGCACTTTACCCCCTTCCCTTTCTTCTTCCTTCTGCGCTTCATTCTTTCACCACCACCACCATTACCATTACCACGACTCCCCCCCACTACAAGCGTTATTATGTGCTGCCTTTTCTCCGAGATGTTCTGTTCTATTGCTGCAGACTGTGTTTCCTTTTTCTTCGCTGCTCGGGACGGGCCAATTTTTTTTACCGTTTGCTGTTAGTTGGGCAGTTGCTTCACACCACAACCTCAATTCTCCTTTTTTTTCTTTTCTTTTTTCGTTTACTTGCACCCTGTGCCCTCGTTATCTCTCTCACCTTTTGAGCCTTGAATCCATAGTAGGAAAGGGCTGCCTGGTGCGTGTGGGGGCTTGCGTGCGTGCCCCAACCCACTGCCGTCATTTAGGTGGAAAACACACCAAGAGAAGGCGGACGCAACATAGAATGTCCTCGGTTGGACCAGAGGTGGTGATACCGATACTGTCCATCTGCGGCGTGCTGCTTCTGCTGATTGTGGGGGCAATCATCTACCTGTGGTGCCACGCCCGCTCCCGCACTGTGGCGGGCAAGTACCATTTCTATCACGGCTTTAGACGCCGCCAGACGCTTGAGTTGACGTGCGACCCCGTTCCTGGGACGCACCAGGCACCACTAGAGGTGCACCTGCGCTCCACCCATGTGGAGCCGTGCGACATCCTTGTCGATGTGCGCCATACACGAGAGCAGACGATGGACGACGATCGCACTGTGCGGCTTCTCGGCACCGATAACTACTACGGCGAGCACTTTCTGCTGTACACGACACCACTCCTATTTGTCGAGGCTGGTAACTATACGGTGTGTGCACACACCGTGTACCCCACTCAACGTGTTGTGGGTGCTGTGCATCAGTTCTCCTTCAACGTGGTGGCTGACGCGCCAGTGGCCGCGCCGCATGCTGGGGATCAACAGAAACAGCAAATTGACGTTAACCTCTACCGTGATTCCGCCTGGGGTCGCCCACACTCCCTGCAGACCGGCAGCACCAACCACGCGCGCCCGCTGCCCCCGCGCATCATCCCCGAGAAGGGCGAGGTGACGACATTCACTCCTGTCACCATCGCCCCCAATGCGGACAGTGCAACCGCAGACCAAATACGCTACAGTGTGGACGGCTCACACCCGTCACTGTTGTACACCGGCCCCTTCACCCTCTCGCTTCCGCCGTTGAACACCAATAGCGACAGCAGGCGTATGCCTGTGGTCGTGCGGGCCCTCGCTGTATATGGGCATGATGAGGGACTGACAAGCGATATCACGGAGGCGCAACTCGTCGTGTACGCGGCGGGACACTCGTTCTTTGACCCCGACGTTTCCGCCCCTGTTGCTCGCATCCGCGCACTGGACGCGCAGATGTACTTTGACGAGTCGCGGCGCCCGCCCAACACGAGCATCATGTACCAGCTTGTGTACATTGGCGAGGCAAGGCAGAAGGCGAAGTTTTCACGCAAGAAGGGCGTCGTGTACGATGGGAAACCGGTGCCGCTGCGTGAGGATGTGGCGTTCGTGTACGCGTGGACCTTCGTCGACGAGGAGCGCCCGCACGGCAACGCCAATGGGCGCCGTCACGTGCGGAGTACTGCCGCCGTGTACGACTGCTGCCGCGCTTCCGCGTGGAACAGGGAGCTGCGCGATGAGGCGGGCGAGCAGCAGGAGTCGTACAGCCTGCTTCCGCCCACCATCTGCATCAGCTGCCGAGAGATGGAGCTCTTCTTCGAGGACCCGCCGGCGGGCGGCATCATCTGCTACACACTTGACAGCACAGAGCCGCTGCAGCCGGACGCAACCACGACCGCAACACACATGGCGGGACTCGGCTTCAACGGCGCCACACGTCTTCCAACGACGGGTGTGAAGGAGCCGAACATGAGCACGCACATCTACAGGGAGAATCAGCCCATCCACGTCACGCTGCTGAAGACGGAGCAGGTGTTCGTCACGGCGCGGACGTTCATCCCTGTCGTCGACCCCTCAGCAGGCGGTGCGGTGACGGGGTACCGCCACGGGGAGCGCTTCTACCGTGGATTCACCACGCAATAATGAAGTGCAAGGAAACGAAAAACAAAAAAAAAAGGGAGAGAAAGTAGATGAGTGAATGATAACCGGGGTGTGTGCGTGCGTGCGTGCGTACGTACAGAGTTGTTTTCCTTCGGTTTGATTCGTTCTGTTTTTCTTTCTTTCCTTGTTTGCTTGCTTCCCCCTTGTGTTGTGTCTTCCCGTATGCCTTCGAGGGCGTGGCAGAGCATCGGTTGATGACACTAAGGGCGTGGACATATAGAACGAAATAGAAGGAGCGTGGGGAGGCGTGCCAGTGCCTTTTTCCCACAAGGGCGGCGACATCGCAGCTGATGACAGTCCAGCGGAGGTCGTTGTTCTTTCCTCGTCTTCTTTCTCCTCTTCCTCCTGCTGTAGCTTACTGATGCTGCTGCTGCTACTGCTTCCTGCCCAGCGAGGCCCCCCTTTTTGTGTGCTATTCTCTCTCCCCTACACACTCCTCATTATTCTTCTCTCTCTCTCTCTCTCTCTCTGCGTTGTCTGTCTCAATTACCGGTGTGGTGGTGAAGACGTAATAGGTGTGAGGCAAGGGAAAAAGATCGACGAAGAACGAGGGATAAGCAGCACAGCGATACCCATTTAACAGGCGGTGATAACGTATTCGTATATTGAAAACGGGACCACACGCACCCTCACACACACTCACAGTGGACGGGTAGAGTGAAGGAACACGAGTCGTAGACGTGTGGAGAAGGCGAGAGGGAACAAGCCATGCTTAAGAAACTCACGTCGAGGGCACCTTTTCCCAAGTCCGTGACGGTGCTGCCGTGGTCGGTGCAGGGCGGTAACAGCGCTTCTAGCAGGCGCCAGCAAGCTGCCAAGAAGAAAGTGTGCGAGGACCGTATGCTCTCTGTCGATTTTGCGTCGCCCAACCACGCGCCGTCAGAGTTGCCCTTCGGATTCAGAAATGAGGCGGGGAACGTCGCGTTTGATTCTGAGCGTCGACGGATCGTCGCGGGGCTTGGGAAAGAGCCGTCTGTGCGCGACTACCGGCTGGCGGTGACGAACGCGGTGCGGAAGGCCCAACGGCTGCAGGCCTCTGCGCTGCTCCTCCGGTCACTGCCGGACGATGTGCACAGCATGGGGGATTTGTTTCAGCCACCCACCGCACTTGCTGCTGCTGACATCGTGGAGAAGACCGCGTCCTTCGCCGTGACTGCTGCCTACAAGTACGAGCGCCTCAAGTCAAAAAAAGGTGGCGCAAAGCACTGCGATCATCGGCATATGGATCTCTTCATCGACTCCGACGCCACCGAGGCAATCAAGAACGGCAACGTCATCGGAGACTGTATCAACGAGGCGCGTAACCTGGGCAACCTGCGCGAGGACGAGGGCGTACCGCAGCTGTACTTCGAGTGGATCAAGAGCGAGCTCGCCCCGCTTGGCGTGAAAGTGCGCCACGTGCTGAAAGGCGAGCAGCTGCAGAAGATGGGGCTGAATCTTCTTTACAACGTGGGGAAAGGCTCGTGCCACGAGCCGTACCTTGTCGTGTTCGAGTACGTGGGAAACCGGCACAGCTCCGAGTCGACAGCGCTCGTCGGGAAGGGTGTGACGTTCGACTGCGGTGGCCTTAATGTGAAGCCGTACGGGGCGATGGAGACAATGCACATGGACATGATGGGCGCCGCAACGGTCATGACGACGCTGAAGGCCATCGCAACTCTGCGGTTGCCAGTGAACGTCGTCGGCGCCGTCGGTCTCGCGGAGAACGCGATCGGCCCCAACAGTTACCACCCCTCCACCATCATTACAAGCCGTAAAGGACTAACGGTGGAGGTGCTCAACACCGATGCGGAGGGCCGTCTCGTGCTCGCTGACACTCTCACGTACGTGCAGCGCGACGCAAAGCTGGAAAAGAAGGTGCACACCATCATCGACCTTGCCACACTCACTGGCGCTGTGCTCGTTGGCCTCGGCACCCGCCGCGCGGGGATCTTCAGTAACAACCTGCCATTGTCGCAGCGCCTCATGGCGGGCGGGCGCCGCAGCGGCGACGAGATTTGGCCAATGCCCATTGGCGAGGAACATCTGAAGGCGGTGAAGGGCGGCATTGCTGATCTCGTGAACGTCTCCTCCGGGCGTGAGGCCGGCTCCTGCAATGCGGCAGCATTTCTCAGTAACTTCGTTGAAGACAACGTGAAGTGGGCACACCTCGACATAGCGGGGCCGGCGATGGGGGGCGACAAGCCGAAGGGGTTTCAGCCGGCGGGCGCCCCGGGGTTTGGCGTGCAGTTGCTGCTAGACCACTTCCGACCCGGGCTGCAGAACGGCGGTGTGGGGGCCTCCACGGCGGGCATCGGCACAAACACATACAGTGACGATGCTGTTGGTGCTGATACTGACGATGACTACAATTCTGTGGGCGTTGCGGAGGCGGAGGTGTGGGCGGCGGCGGACAAGAAGAAACGAGTGCAGAAGAGGAGCAAAACATCGAAGA